TCCTTTGAATTCTTTTCACCAATCTTTTCTTGGATGTGAACAAAATACCTTTTTTTGTGGCCCTTTTTTATAATATGTATTTATATAATTATTAAAAAAGAATATTCTTAGTAAGAGATGATAGTCATTTTATTCTTGACTTGAGTTCATTGTAACTATATAAGCCTCCTCTTCTTATTATGAAATTTTCTGAGCTCTACATTGAGGCTACACGATAAAACTATTTTTTGGGTTTTCGTTATTTTCAAGATAACAAAATACTATTGCTTTTCAAGCTTTGTATTTTTCTTATTAATTCTTATTTTCAACTTACTAGTTTTACTTTGCTAAATGCAACACTTTATATTTTTTTTTTTAATTTTGTACTTTCGTCAAGGAAATGTATTATATATTGTTTTTGGCATCACGTATTTATAATAAATTTGAGTTGTTGTATTATCCATGAATTACACATACATACTTTAACATAAATGATATCTTTTTTTAATTGTTTGGATTTTTCTGCCATGTTTTTCCATGGATGTGAGAAAATATATAATATGTCTCTCTATACATGTCATTAATTAAATGTCATATAGAAGTTGAATATAATCATGCAGCAACAAGTATATTCCAATTTAAAAACACATGTTTTGAGATTATACATGGTATCACGATTTAAAAAATGCGTGAAAGCAATTTACTTTAATTTCAGAATCATGGTCAAGGTGTTGTTTGTTATAAAAAAAAATAATTTTTGTAAATTACAATTTCTATCACCATCTATATATTATTTGTGGAAAGGAATTGGATAGGCTAATATATTATAAATTAGTGTCATTTCATTTTTTATTTAAGGATTTTTAATATATAACAATGTGCTTATCATGAAGTTCTAAATCTTTGCATTTCATGGTCCCAAAAAAAAAAACCTTTGCATTTAGCATTTATGATACATACTAAAGATTAAAGGGATGATTAAAGACTGAGTAGGAATAATGAATAAAAGCCTAGGGTCCAAGTTTTATATTGAGTTAAAACTATGGGACCAAAAGAGTAATTTTTGTAGATTTAATTACTTTTTTTTTTTTAGTATTACAAGATATTATTTACAAGCTGCATTTGCTATTTCTTTCCACGCATAATTTGATAAAAACTTAAATCTCTTTTGTTCATTTTATTATTTGGTCAAATAATTAATCTCATTTTCCTGAACAATACTTTATATTTTTTGTTTTGTATTTTCGTCAATGAATTAATTATTTAGGATTGGTTTATTTAAAATATGTTGAAGTTGATACAATATCTATGAATTACATGCTACTTTTCCGGTTTTAAATATAAGATCTATTTTGTAGTATAATTACATTATAAAATAGCTTTTATATTTAGGACTGAATGAATATATTTTAAGAGAAGTGTTTTGCTTTGCTGGCAAAAGAAGAAAAGAAATAGAAATATTTTTCTTAAGTTTCTTTTGACGTCTTAAATTTCCTTTGATGTTTAAAAAGATCTCTCTTACCGTTCCTCTTTTGTTGCTATTAAAATTTTTATATTTTCATTTCAAGTGTTGGTAATAAAAAAAAGTCCTGATTGTTACTATATAAATTTGCCTACTTGTTGGAAAGGATTATTTACTAACAATAGTTGGCAATAATTAATATATTATATAAGAAACTTGCTGGGTTTAATCTCCAATCTAGTTAGAGTAAAAAGCAAGTTGTTATAATCAGTCCATTTCATAATTTTAATTTTAATACATTGACAGGGAAAGGAAACTGACAGTGCTTATGTGGGCGTTATAGCAAAAAGATTCAATCAGTTGCAAAATCAGCAATCTTGATCCTTTTTCTAAGGTTGAAAAGTCTACAAATTGAAAGGAGTGGAAAAAAGAAAGGTATATTGGAAATCCAAGTTAGAGGAAGAGTAGAAGACGATGAAGAATCTATTAAAGCCCAAGAACTTCTAAAGCTAGATTCAGAGTTGAGTGAATTAAAATTAGATGATCTACCAGAATTGGAATATATTTGGAAGGGCCCCACCCAAATTGTGAGCCTCCATAGACTTGAAGATGTTTCATTGTGGGACTGCCCAAAATTAAAAAGTATCTTCACTCTTGCTATTGTTGCAAGCCTTCCAGAGTTGAGAAGACTTAAAGTAGATGATTGCGAGGAATGGGAGGGAATATTTTGTGAAGAATCACTCAAAAACCTCTCTTCTTCTAATATTTGCTTCCCCAAACTTAAGGATATAAGTATATACTATTGCAACAAAGTGAGATGGTTGTTATCTTATTCTCTGGCATCTCATTGTCCTTCACTAGAGGCTATACGCATATACAGTTGCTCTGAATTTGAGGGGCTTATTGGTGAAGAAGCTGCACATGGGGATCCACTACTTCATGATATGCAAGATCATCCACCGGTAAATCTCATCCGCAATGTCTCTCTCTCTGTTTTTTTTTTTTGACCAGCAAATCCGCAATGTGTCTCTTGAATCACTGCATATTAGAAATAATAATAATCCATATATATATGTTGACGCATTTGCTAAAGTAGCCGTGTTCAATTTACATCTCCCTTTTATTTGAAAATTTTTTGTTTGCTATCGTATAATATATATATTTGTATAATCATTAAACATAACTTCTACAGTAATTATTTTATTTTTTACTTCACTTTATTATACCTGCATAAACCTCCTTTTATTATTAAATTTTCTTGGCTATATATTCAGGCTGCACGATGAAACTATTTTCTGAGTTTTCCTTATTTTCATAATAATAAAATATTATTTCCTTTTTCTTTTTTTTTAAATAACAACTTTTATTTGTCAGATGCAGTAACATTTTACATTTCGTATTCTGCATTTTGGTCAAGTAAATGACTTTTTCATATTGGTTTTGCTATTAGGTATTTATTGTGGGAAGTGCTTATTCAAAGTTATTTTTATTCAAAAATAAATTAGTGTTGATGCATTATATAAAAACTACACATACTTTAAGAGAAGTATTTTTCCCTTTCAAATTTTTTCGCCATGCTTTTCTTTTCTTTTTGATGTGAGAAAATACCTTTTTGTGGCTCTTTCTTTTTCTGCTAAAAATTAAGTTAACATTAGTACTTTTGTTCAAAAATTCTTGTCGGTCAAGAAATATTTAATATGTGTACTTCTTGTTAAAAAAAAGCTATATATATATTTATTAAATGTGATATAGTTGTTATAATAGAGAATTAACATAATCATGTAGTAAAAAGCATATACAACATTTGCTAGTCACACATTTTTCATGTTACTATAAAAATTGTTTGAGTCTGGTAAAACGCATGTTGAAATTATGTTAACACAATTTTAAAAGTACATTATTTTTATTTTGCTATTAAATGATCAATTCGGTAAATACTTATAATGGCCAGCATAATATAAATTAGTGTCTACAGAAGTTCTCACTAGAGATTTCAAACATTTTGATAAAATTTTTCTTTCGCTCACCTACCTCTTTTTCATAGAATTTCTATTTAGCATAATACTAAAGATTAAACTGCTCAAATTTTTCTTTTTCTTTTTTCAGTACTACAAAATATTATTTGCAAGCTGCATTTTTTAATTTATCTTTCCACATATGAATTTGATAAAAATTTTAATCTCTTTAGTTCATTTTAATTTTTTTGTCAAATAATTAATTTTGTTTTTCCAAACAACACTTTTTTATTTTTATTTTTTATTTCGTCAAGCAAATAATTATATGGAATTGTATTTCATTTAGAATAAGTTGGAGCTAATATAATATCTACAAATTATGTATATATACACAATATTTGTTAAATTTTCTGTGGACGCTAAAAAGGTCTTTGTCAGTGTGCATCTTTTATTGCTATTAAAATTTGTATGTTTTCCTTTCAGCTTTTGTACGAAACTAACTAGCATGCTTTAATCTCTCAGCAACCTTTGATCCGAAATTGTTCTGAACTTGAGAGGCTTGCTGAAGAAGCATCATATGGGGATCGGCTACCACTTCTCAAACTGAAGGAATTAACTTTGTCGTCATTGCCGAAATTGAGAGAGATCTTCCCTCACGTGAGTGTTTTCTCTCACTATTTCTTTTTTTATTTGTGATTTTTTATGGATAAAATTGATAAATGTCTTTTAAATTATTTATCAAACATAACACTTTATATTTTTCGTTTTATAGCTTCGTCGAAGAAATAACTTCTTTGTTATTACAGAAAGTACTTGTTCATGGTTGTTTTTGTTAAGAATGAATCAGTGGAAATGCTTTCTCATTTTCTTTGGACGTGAGAAAATTCTTTTTACAGGACCTATTTTCCTTTCCTCTTGTTTACTTTTTAAATTTATTTGAAAATTTGTGTTTGCTATGAAACGATATATACGAGTAGCAAGACTATATTCTAATGAAAAGCAATAATCATTTCAAATTTTATTTAATATTTTGCGTCTGTGAAGCAGTCTTCTCGTCATGAAATCATGCTAGAAATTACTTGAAGTATTAGCAATGTTCCCATTAATGCTTGGTTGCGGAATCATTTTTTGTTTTTGTGAGCGGTTCTTTATCATGGAAAGTATGACTTGTCCAAGACTGTTTGATTTGAAATAAATCAACATCGATGCATATTTATACATCATACATTGTGTACGTGTGTGTGTCTATATATATTTCACATTGGACCATCAATAATATGTATAAGAAAAGTCTAACTTGATAAAATTCATCTTACTGAGCTTATCTTATTATAGTTTTATAAATATGTGAAATGAATGGGGTTTACTTTTTAATGTTCCAATGCCATTAAATTTATGTGGTTCATGTGTGTGTATACATAGTCCATATGTTGAATTTTCATCTAATCATTGAATATATTTACTTCACAGAAACATGACAATGACACAGTGAGGGTGGTAAAGTCAGAATTGTGTTATATGGTTAGTAGATCTACCGGAATTAGAATATATTTGGAAAGATCCCATACAAATTTTGAGCTTCCATAGACTTGAAAGCATTAAACTGTTGGAATGCCCAAGATTAAGAAATACGTTCACTCTTGCTATTGTCACAAGCCTTCCAGAGTTGAGGAGACTTGAAGTAAGAGGATGCAATGAATGGGAGGGAATATTTTGTGAAGAGTCACTTAAGAATCTTTCTACTACTTCCACTGTTTGCTTCCCCAAACTAGGGACCATTTGTATATCTGATTGCCACAAAGTGAGAAGGGTGTTCTCATATTCTCTGGCATCTCATTGTCCTTCATTGGAGAAAATAACTATAAGGAATTGCTCTCAACTGGAGAGGGTTGTTGAAGCTTATGAAGGTGAAGTAGCTGCTCATCATCAAAGGCTGTTTCCTAAACTGAATGATTTGGATCTCGGGAAGTTGCCAAAGTTGAGAGAGATTTATGAAGGTTATGAATTCAACCTCCTTTCTGGTACTATAGCAATAGAAGATTGTCCAAACATATCAAAAATCTCAAAAATCCCATTAGAAGACAAGCCCTCATCATCAGGTTCGTAGCTACACTTTTTCTTTCAAACTATTATCATATTTAATCAATGAAATAATTTTGTGCATTACAATTTCTATTTTATATGGAAAAAAAAGGTCTTTTATTACGAGAAAAAAAAAATTCTATCTTAACAACCACACATACATCGCTCTAATTTTTTTTATATCAGAAATTGCAATCACTCCCAAAATTTTTCGTCATATCAAAATCATAATAATGTACTCGTATTAAATAAGTGACATGTTATGGTAATATTAGAAGTTGAATAATTATATGGAACTCAAAAATAATTAATTTCCACCATTTACACATTCTTAGTACATTATTTCTCATCATTATAAATAGTTAGCTCTAATTTAATACACATTATCTAAGGACCGTCTCGAAGATTGTGAAGAATAAACAAGGTTATTAATTTTTATTTTGTCTATATGTTCCATTTTGATTAAGCTGCTAATTTTTTTTTTTTTTTTTGGTCAGCCTTGGAGATCAAATTGGAAAGTGAGATAATGAAGGGCTGATGATGAGCTTTGGATCTTCCAATGGTTTCTTTATCTGCATTTGTGTTTTACTAAGTTGTGTGTGAAAATATGTTGGATTTGTATCAGTGTGTTGAAAATTTCACAAAAACTTTTTTTTAAAAAAAAAAAGAAGCTTAAAAATTTAGACATACATTTACTTTGAAGTTGTATTTTATTTGAGTCTGTTGAAACTATGTAACTACATTCAAGATTGCACACAAAATACAATAATTGTGTGGCCCTTGTGTGCACAACTTATTTTATTTCAAATATTGTATCAATGATTTCTTATGTTATTCTTTATTTCAATCTCGCAATGTAGTTGTTATTATTTTATAAAAAAAAACAATCTTGTATATCCATTTATATTGAAAAAAAAAATCATCACAAAAAAGGTTTTTCAAATAGGAAAAAAGATAACATACTTTTAAATTGTAGACGAATAAGTTTTAAAGGTCTCACCCATAACCTCTCCACACTTGCTTCATAATCAAAAGGATAAAGTAATGTTAATGTGTATAAAGCATTTCAAGTGAAACTTTATAATACAATCCATGAATTTGACAACTGTAAATAACTAAAAAAAATTTAAGAGTTGCCTCCATTTTGTATAAAAATTAAAACAATTTTTAAGAGAGAACGTCATTAAAGGGATAATAATATTAATCCATCATCAAATAGAATTTATGTTATAAAAAAAAGAATTAAATTATATCTGGCCTCTACAAGGAACAGTGATAAGTGATAACTATAAAAAGAATATGACAAAGCTCCCTTGTGTTTAATTTAAAAATAAAAATATCATTCATAGTCCACTTATTATAAACCGAAGTCTTGCTGATAGGTCTTTGTTTTCGCCCTTTTTACTCATCTAATAAAGCATACTTTAGCAAACATATATAAGAAATTAGGATTCTTTACATTCATGGATTGATACATTTGAAATTCCATAAAAGAATGTAACTACAAATTAGAAATAGTCTTGAGAGTTTTTGAGAAGGTACTAAAGCTAGAAACATAAATATTCTCTTTATTGAATCTACAGAGCATGAATCCAAATGCTTTATAATCCTAACCGGGACCAAGTTAAAAAAATCAAAGGATGATTGTGAAGAAAGAATATTACTCATCATATTTGCCATGACTTAAAGATTTATCAAGTAGGTGGGAAGAACCTGTTGAGATTGAATGGCAAAGTATAGAATTCTTCATTTCTGCTATCTCCTTTAAACTTTCTGAACTTTGCCCGCCACGTCATTCCTCTATCTTTCTTTGACTTTTCAACCTCGAGCATGTTGTCAAGGAACACTGTCACGATCAAAGCCACTGTGGCCGGTGATGAGAATATGGTGTTTATGAGTGCATTGAACTACAAAAATGACACATTGTCAAACATAAAAATGAGCTCTTGATGTTCGAAAATTTCAGCAACAATATAGAGATGGTTTGCTTCTATCTTAATCAATAATCTAAGCCTTTTAAGACAACTTTCCACTTAATCCCATCAAAGGGCTTGAAAGAAAATATCTATTATCCAAAGAGAATGAAGTACGGTGCAGTCAATATTATATTGAGACCAGTATAGATGCAAAAACAGCTCCAAACTTTCTAGCAGAAACAAACAGAACTTTAGTTTAGCTTGTGTAAAAAAACTATTTGCCTACTCTGCTTTCAGCTTTGTCATCATAACAGATAACAACCAACTTGTTAAGCTCATATCATCAGAAAAGATGGGAAAATGTGAATGCAACCATCAAAATTTTCCTTAAAAAATAAAGCTCCACTGCAAACAGTTAATGGCGTGCATCATCCTTATCCTAAAAAATAGCATAAGGATGTGTCGTTATACATTTCTTGCAATTATTCACAGGACAGCATCAATTAATATAAATCTAATATTGGAAAGAACACATTAACAACTGAAACCTATAAACTATTATTATGTGTGTGTGTATATATATTAGAACTACTTTTTCATATATCATTACACTGAACATTTTTTTTTTTGGGGATCAAAAGTACTTCTGTTAGAGGTGCAAATCAAATATTCGCCGGACATTTAAAAGGCGCTTGTGATGATTCCAACTTCAAGTAATAACATCTTTTTTTTGGGTCAGAAAAGGTATAATATCATTAAAACAAAACAGAACGACTTAAAGTTTAAAGGCAAAGAAAACAACAGAAACTCAAAAACCTAAAAAACGAGCAGAACAGGAACGCGAGAAACATCAAAAGACAACACTGAACTGGATCACTCCTATAGCAGCAGCCGAGAACAAACAGATCTGGTTCACTCCTATAGTAGCACCTGAGAATAAACCGTGAGAAAGAAGGGGAGACGATGAAAAATCTATCCAAGAACACGCTCCCTTAATGCACTTGAAGCTGCACACCAAAACAATCACAAAACCAGGCAAGCAAAGATGAGCACAAGTTAACCATCCTTCTAGAGGAGAAACGAACAAACAAAAGAAGAAATTATTGGGATTGAGGGGCATAAAACCCAACCATAGAGGCCACAAACCCATTACGAAACTCCTTAGGTCATCCAAAGAAGCTAAGTTGCAACAGAGAGCAACAAATTCCAAAAGGAACATGCTCTCATGAAAGAAGCTCCACCAATCACAGCCAAGCTGAGCAAAATCAACACAAAGAGCCAGAAGCTTTTTATCCTCTAGATTTCCAGTCAACCAATGACCAATCTCCAAAGCCAAAGCAGAAGCAAACCTCCCTCTTAAACCAGAACCATCAATCCTAGCAACTACTAACACTAAATTCTTAAAATCAAATACAGACTAATGACATCCAGGCAGCACCCATCTTAAATCATACTTAATTTTTAGTAGAGCCCTTTTGATTGCTATAAAGAAACTAAACTTCTGGACCTTCCCTTCGATAAAGATTGAAGCAAAGCAAACAAATGAGTTAACAATAAATCCCGAGATATCCTTGTCTTGAAAGGAAAACAAACTAAAGCTCCATATCACCTTTGAGAAAACTATGGCAAGCACTATCTCAAATAAAACCAACAATACAAACCAGCAGCAACAATCATTTTGAACAGAAACCAAGGTTTTCCTCATATTCCAAAACCACCAAGAAGCATAAATCAGACCAACCAGCACAACACGCACTTCATAACAAGCAATCAAACCATACGGCCAAAAGGAGTTCACAAAGAAACTATTCGAAGAAAGAGTATCACATCTTGTTACCTCACAAGGCCAAGGCAAAAGAATCCCACAGAACAGACTTACATCAAGAAGGCACTGGGAGATTAGCTTTAATTTGAGAATCATTGATCCATGGCTCATAGATCTATTTTGAAGAAACAACTCATTTGCTTCCAACACATAGAACTCTCCTTCACCCATACTCCTCTGACCAAAATAGCTTCCAGATTTCACCATCTCTGGTGCTATTCCCATTGATTCCCAATTTGTGCTCGGCCATTCTGTTTTTGTCTTCGCCATTCTTGTTGAGGCTCCTAGTCGTGCTGCCCACTGATCTTCCTCCTTCGAATCCCTAACCAAAAAAGCCTCAGAACTTGCCCTCATCTTCAGATCTAGCAAAATCTCCAACTCACACGCGCACACACTAGGCTCACTCTCCCCCAGCGGCGACGCCGTTGGAAGTCGCTCACCTAGGGGTGGTTTGTGCTCTCACGGGAGGTGAGAATTTGCTCTCACGAGAGGATAGGTTTAATTTAAGTAATAACATCTAGTTGGATTAATTTTCTAGTTTTATATGCTAATTAATCCCTTTTTGTTGTAATTCTGATTGTGACTGATGCTTTTGAATTGCCATGCCAGAATATGAGTAGTAGAATTAGTAAGGTGATTAATTAGTTGTAAGTGTTAATAACCTAATTAGTTGGTGGATGCCCTTTATTTCTGCTTAGCGACTTGCCATTCTCTTATGAGAATTGCTTGGAACTTCCACTGAATCCTCTGTATCCATGAGGACTGAGGATATTGACACCAATGGAATAAGATCCAACACAATGGCTGAAAACTTCTTTTAGGGGCACTAAAGGAGACATTGTAGATCGTAATTCATAACAATTCAACTCTTTTCAATTAAAAAAAATGATTACTTTAGTAGAGCATTGGGGTGAACAAAGCATCCTTGTCTTCTCTGTCAAAGAACCATTCAATGCCCAACACAAATCTTTTAGGCTACAGACACTAATGTGGAATCTATGAGACCAAAACCAAGTGATCAAGTTTGACAACACAGCTTGAATTGCAAAGTAGATAGTCATAACACAACCGGTGACCAGCTAATTTACAACTTTGTAACAGACCAGACAATATAAGATCACTTAAGCGCATACACCTAAATCACAGTTCAAGAAAGTGATCTTTCTTCACAAGCAAGATTGTCTAATCGCACAAAAATTAGTAGATATAGGCATCTTCACTCATACAAAGGAGGTAGATACTCGCAAAAAATTTAGTAGATATTGTCATCTTCACTCATACAAAGGAGGCAGATATGTGCCAGCTGAGATATCACAGGATTAATGTATCTTTTGGTACGATAATATTAAGGACCAGAGATAGTATCTTATTAGAATGAATCCAACCAATTACTTCAAGTAACATCTATTTGAATTAATGTGCTAGTTTATTTGTCGATCTGTTTTATGTTTCAATTATGATTATGACTGACGCTTCTAAATTACAGTTCTAGTTGGAATGCCATGTCAGAATATTTAGAAAGTAAACTAAAATTGCTCTGAAGCTTTGGATGTAGGACGCAAGAAATGCTTCATGTACAGTTTAAGAATAAGCTATATATAGTTAAGTTTTTTTAAATGGATCAAACTTGTCTTAAAGATCAGAGACATAAAATTGGAATCTGCTTTATGAAGCTTGCTCAGAAAGCCGTGAGCTCCTCCTTATCCTTTGGAACTAAAGAACGGACAAACCTTGATTGAATCATATTCCTATTCAAGTTTTTGGAAATAGTTTTTAATAATAATATAACAAATATTTTTTTTAATTTGAATCACACTCTTATCATCAAAAGTCAATTATTATTTTTAATTAAATAATCTAATAAGAAATATATAGAGCAAAGGAATACAGATATATAGAATATATGAATCCCAAACACCGTTTTGAGGTCCCATCCACATCATTTGCACTGTCCTTACAAAGCTTCCAGTAACAGACATATTCTTTAATGCTACTTCCGGTTCTAATTATAAGATCTAGTTGACTAATTTGGAGAGATTAAGAAAAAAAGCTAGGTTAGTTATTTGTAATAAATATATGTCATCTTTTCTAAAATATCCTTACTAATTAAGTGTGTTGTGTAGAATTACCATTATTAGAAGGACCATCTTGGGAAAAAAATATATAAATATGAAAGATAAAGTAAATTAGGGTCTTATATTTATAACCAAAATAAAAGTCAAGCAAAGTCTTATATTAAGGACCAGAGGTAGTAAAACATAGATCAACTCCAACACAAGACTTTTCCTTAAACTTAATCATTCTAGGCTTTAGAACATTGCACAGTGTTCTGAATCCAGAATCTCAGATTTTCTGTGACTCTTGAAGAAATTAGGGCCCGTTTGGTGGCCAGAAAATGTGGCTTGGGAAATGGAAAATGGCTCATTTTCCTTTCCTGAGTATGTTTGGTGCACCATTTTTTCCTAAGAGCATTTTCCGGTGGCGGTGAAATTTTCCCTCATCCATGGGAAGCCTTCTTCCTCCCATTTTTGGTGGAAAACAATCTTTCAAGGTGGAAAATTCCCAAATAGCCCCTTCATCTTCTTCATCCATGTTCGAAGGTTCTCTCGCAACCACCGCTCAACCGTCTTCCTTATTCGCTTGCCCATCTCCACTACAGATTTGCTTGTCTTTTGTTGGTTGGTTCTTCACGTCTGCTTCTTCTTTGGTTTTGATTGTTGCCGATGACTTAGCATTCTCCACCGCTAACTCATTCTGTTGGAGTCATCAGAGATTCAAAATCATGAAGCTCTGACCTGTCGAAATTTATGGAAGAGAACGAAATGAGAATGAAAACTTAAAAATCTGTTCAGATTCATAGGAAATTAAGAAAAAGTTGGAAAGGCAAATCCTTTTGTTAGAAGAAAATAGCAAGGTTGCAGTGAATAGTAGAGGAGGAAGTAAGACTGAGAAGCACAGGTGCCGCTGAATATCCTCAACAAATTCGAATTTTTTTAATTAATTTTTTATTTGATCCTTTTTTATAATAATAAAAATAATAAGAGTACATCAGGCCAACTAGATTTGATTACTATAATAACAAAAATCATCATTATTAAATTATTATTTATTATTAAAAATTATCTATCCATAAATAATTATCTTAATATTTTCATTACTAATAATAAATAAGTAATTATTTTAGTATTATTTTAAATCAAGGGCATTAAAGTCATTTACTTCTCGCTTTTTCCTATTCTATCATATTTTCATCCAATCAAACATAATATTTTCATCAATCTATTTTTCATTCCATTGCATACCAAACAAGCAGTCGGAATGGCTTCTAAGTAAACTTTTCAATCGTGATTTATAAAATACAAATAAATATGTAAGAGAAGTTTTATCTCGACTTATATAAAATGTATTTTTGAGTAATTCAAACAGAGCCTATATATACTAGTATATATATAGTTGTGACATGGATTTGGAAGAATGACTTTTATCACATGCTTCTTTCTTCTGTTTGACATGTTAAAGCTAAACAATAACAATTATTTTGGACCCCAATAATAAAGAAGAAAATGCTTTGGTTTTCCTTGGTCTTCAAGGAGAGGAGGCACAGAATGATTCCAGATGAGGGCAACACTAACTTTGGAATAAAGAAATGAATATATATGGCTTACTTTAATGAGATACAGTTTGGAGTTGTCCCCTGGCCAAAAAAAAAAACTGAAAAAAAATTGAAAAACCTCTGGAAAAACCCAGAAGCAACACAGATATATACACAGGACTTTGCTTTAATTAAAGCTATATATACATATACAGATATGGCGACGTTCTTACAAATTAATAGGTGGCTGGAAGACAAGAGAGGGGGAGAGAGAGAGTTAAGAAGCAGAAAGGGAGAGACTGAGAAAGTAAAGAAAGAAAATTGAGAGGAGAGGAGGGGACTGGATCATCATACCGGAGTGAAGGCTGTTTTGGTAGTAACGATCCATCTGTTTTTTTTTTTTTTAATTTTACTGCCGTTGAACTTACTCTTTTACACTGATCGTATAATCAACATAGTTGTCAATATTAAAAAACAACTGAAAACTTCTACAAAAATTCTGTTTAAAACAAGACACTCTCCATAGAATAAGATCAAACGCGATGGCTGAAAACTTCATGTAGAGGCAGCAAGAGAGACACCGCTAGATTTTAATTCCCAGTGGTTCAATCCTGTTTTAGTAGAGCATTGGGGATGAACAGAGCATATTTGTCTTCAGTGACTTCTAGCTTACCATCGCTGAAGGCTTCCACCACCTTCTCCCATGTCAGCATGGTCAATTAACAGAAGGAGTTCAAGCTTAACGCTTTTAAACTACAAGGACCCATATCCGCAAATATAGACTCTAGGGACCTTGAGGAAATTTGACTGAAACTATAAGGACCTAAAACATAGTTTTCCTTTATACTAACCTCATAATGGTCCATTATGGAGTCTCGTGTTCTTAAATCTTGATATGTAATGGCTTCTGGATTAGGCACATTCAACCACAAGTACTCCTCCGGTCCTTAATATAGGACCCATTTAACTAATTTAATTAGATTAAGGAAGTTAGGTGAGTTAGTTAATTATAAGAAATGTGTCATTTTTTCTAAAATACCATAATCATCTTTTTTAATACTCCCTCTTCCTCTTCTACTTGATTATGGTTGAGGGAGTATCCATAGGGATAATTTAGATAAAATTGATGAATATAAGAAATAGGTCTTATATTTAGGATCAAAACCAACTCAATAATTGGGTCCTATATTAAAGACCGGAAGAGTAATAATCAAATGTTTAGGTTGTAATCGTAACTTGTTAATCTGCGCTAATGAAATTAACAAGGTTTATTCCTTTTTAATATTGCCCATAATTTATGCTAATGATCTCTTTAAATCTCATAATTATTTTTCTTTGAAAAAGTTCGTCAACAAGTTCATTATATGAGCGCTCTGAAACACGTTTCATCTCATGCCGACTCATATTGAGCCACTTCGTCTCATCTTCGATTAAATAAATAGAAAAATGAAACATATTGAGGGCATGCAATATTCTTTCCATGACCCACCCAGAAAGTTCAAAATATTATGTTAAAGACTTTGATTGAATTAATTTTTAAGTGTGACTTTGAAGGAAATCGTTGTGCTGATAAACTTACAGCGATGAGTCTGGATCAAGAGATTCTCCAAGAAGACGTCGCTGCACTTGATTTACTTCGTTAGTTTGTAATTCTTCTCTGACCTTTGGCCTTTGTCAAAAAAAAAAAAAATCTTAACATGCAGTGGCCTCTATACTATTAATATTGTAAGGCATATTAACCAAAAATTAATTAAAACACAAG